TTCCAAAACTTTTGCTACAAATGACGCTTAAGATTTTAGCAGAATCGAAGTTATCATGGCTTGAAGGTGGTACTAAAAACAGTAGTCGTAAGATTGCTATTTAAAATTTTGAAGGTCAAAAATTGTCGGATTGAACTTTGGTATAAAATTTTATATTTTTAGAATTTACCATCCCCCTCCTCAAAAAGTCCAATAAACTAGGGACAATACAGAGACATTTTCGATGCATTCAAATGATTCTTATTGCTATCAAGGGTTTACGAAATTTTATTTCTGAATTGAATTGATCTTGGTTTTATCTTATTCTAATTGTTTGGAACACAATTCACGTAGTTATACTTTTCAACTTACTTTTAAACAAGATTTTGTTGCGAAGTATTAATATTGTTTTGCTACTGAGGCTCTGAATGATTTAAAAAGCATGTAATTTAAAGTTTTGGAGCTTATTTTCTTGTAATGTGCGTGAGGTGGCGGCTCATTGTGTTTTAATATTATTTATTTTTAATCATTTTTTTCTTGCTGATTGCAAACAAGTTTAACTAGGAGAAAATTCTGGTGGCTCAAGGCACATATTTTTAATTTCCTCTTTCTTTCATTACTGAGGGAAGTAATTAAATGTTGTGGAAAATAGCGGCGATCGCCCTCTTTCCTCTATTTAAAAATCAGCGATGAGATTAAAGAGTTGGTCTCACCTTTTCTATTCAGAAGCGGAGGTGGTCGTATTCTTCGAGACGGAAGAAAGTCACGAGCGTTTTGCTCGGGTGAACTTTCGCCCTTTCAACCCCTTAACCCCCCCACCTCACTCCACTCCCCTCCACCCCGTGCTGCTTCTTCCACCCTTTCTACCGCTTCCCTGGTTGCAAGGCCCTGACCTCCCCTTACCTCGAATTAATTACTTCCACTTAGTACTTTGTCGCACTCTTGCCAAGTCCAACAAGGATTCTTGTACGTAAGGGTCATCCCCAAAGGACCATCTTGGCCGGCCAGGTTGACCCAATGGTCAGCGCGTCTGACTCTAGGTCAATAGGTCAAATCCCGAAGGAAGAAATCCCGGGGAATCCCTAGGGTTCGAATCCCGGTAGTGGCGTCAAATTTTCACGGAACTGACGAGTAGATCTGCAGGAACAGGTTCTACTCGGCCTTAAGTAATCCCTGAAGAGGAGGGGTATCGATAAGGGCCTTTTTTGGCCCCCTCCTAGAATCTGGAAATTTATGCGGGTTTTCCAAGTTGACTCAATGTAGTTTACGGAAATAATCATGATTTAGCCCATAGGCCACTGGATACGTGTTAAACGGTTGCCTAAACATAGGTCTGCAGGCGTATTGTAGCGAAAATTCGTGGTTTTCTATCACTCCGAGGCTTTTTTGACACCGAGCGCATCGTCTAGCTAAAACGAGCTTTTGATATGTTATTAAAGAGGCTTTAGGACACATTTTACCCATGGTTTGGTTTTAGTTAGATGATGCGATCATAATTAAAAAAAACTTTTTCAAAAATCGTCGTCTAAGGGACATCCGCAAAAATCATAGCAAACACGTCTCTCCAACTGTATGCACGCTACGTATATTATCGAGGGCAGTTATCAAGCCTTATTAAACCCTTGCGAGGAGATTTACTTTAATTGTAGCCAAAAAAAAAACCTAACGAATTAATTCTCCATGATTTTTGCGGATGTCCCTTAAACGTCGATTTTTGAAAAAGTTTTTTTTTTTTACTATGAGCGCATCATCTAACGAAAACCAAACCAGGGTTAAAATGTGTCCTGAAGCCTTGATAATATATCAAAAGCTCGTTTTAGTTAGACGATGCGCTCGGTGTCAAAAAAGCCTCGGAGTGATAGAAAACCACGAATTTTCGCTACAATACGCCTGCAGACCTATGTTTAGGCAACCGTTTAACACGTATCCAGTGGCCTATGGGCTAAATCATAATTATTTCCGTAATCTACATTGAGTCAACTTGAAAAACCCGCATAAATTTCCAGATTCTAGGAGGGGGCCAAAAAAGGCCCTTATCGATACCCCTCCTTTGAAAAGCCTGGAGAGACCTCTGAGACGAGGTATAAGCCATTAAACATGAAAAAAAGAGGGAAAAAAAGATCAAGAAGGGGGGTGGCACTGAAGGTGTTCCGACAGTGGCCATGTACCGTGAGACTGACGGATGAAACTTTCAGGAAGGAAAACATCCCGCAGTATTTGTATAGTGACGGCGTTGAAAATCAATTCCTGATCCGCGCGGCATTTTGATGCTCTATAAAACCGATTTGCAAATTTTGAGCGAGAATACAGGTTGCCCGAATTGATCCAAGTTATGGATGCATTTGTTTGCATCGGTTAGAGTTTTACAGAAATCGCAACTAATCGTTCTAAACTAACGCTAACTAACGCTCTAAAAGCTATAAAAGGTGTCATTTTTGGAATAATATAAACACTTGGGAACTGTCCGGCCGAGCCTTCGAAGATTTTAGAGCTTTTGATTCACCATCGGCCATTTGTACGTATTTAAATCAAAAGGAGTTACCTCTATTATAGCATGGGCCCCATCATGCATGCATTCTTATCACATTCCGAGTCCAGCTTGTAATAGACATAGTTTCTTCAGATTTAAACCAGGGTCATAGACTGCTCCGCGATTCAATCTCCAGAGGCGCTCCTCCTATGATTTCACATTATAGAGTACCAGGGGGCCGTGCCCCCTGACCGCTACGGGGCCCAACCCCCGGGAACTACAAAATGCGTTAGTGCAAATTACAAACTTGTTGATTATGAAGGTCACCATCTCAGAAAACTCAATTAAAGTATTTTGTTAGTAGTCTGCCCCGTCAATTTTTTACGCTTTACCAACATTGAGTCACCAAAGAAAGCAATCAGATATGGGCTGATCAGGGAAAGTATGTTGATAAATTTTCAAGAATTCATATTCAACCCACCTTGTTTGACTGATAAGCGTGTAATAATATGTTCGTGGAGCGTACTCCTTTTCCCGTCCCTGGCTCGGGCGACGGTAAAGTCGCCGCAAAACTATATGACTTCGCGCAATTAATTATTCTTGACTCTGCTCGGTTTTAATGATATTTAAAGGGCATTTATTACAACAATTAAGAAACTCGGACGATGTCAAATTTTTCACTGATTTAAAAAAAACGGATTAAAACGAACTAAAATATTCATCAAAACCAAAAAGTATTTCATTCTAAAAGTAAAGTATACCTCATATCGTAATTTTTGAGGGGAAAAATAAAACCAACACTGATAGGAGGTGAAAATAGGGCCGCGAAGCGGCCCATGGATGGCGCGGAGAGCCTTCAGGGGATTGGACCGCGTAGCGGTCAGGGGGCATAGCCCCCTAGTATTTGATTATTTGCCTAGGCATTTGACAAAATGAATAATTTTACTATTTGCCTGCGACATATCGATTGCAGTGTTTGAAAATTTCTTTCCTCCCCCCCTCCCCTTGGCACCAAGTTTTACGAAAATCCGACGAGCAGAAACCGAGATAGCGCCCGCCACCTTGGTTTTTCGAATTTTCGAAATTAGACTAAAAATTCGAATTTAATTGATGGAATGGGAGCCGATGTATCAATTTAGGCTACGTCCGCTGTCTTAAATTTTCAAATTCAGAAAATTCAACTTGAAACGCATCATACCCAAAATCTAAGCTCAGATTCGGCTTCCTCGTGAAATATCGATGCTATTTCATGTATCTTATGTTACCATAGCATAAAGAAAAGAGGGTAATTGTAGGCGTAAAGATTCTATCGAAGCCGGCCGGTATGCGGAAGTAGGCACAGAATTCAAACGTTTGAGCTACGCCGCCAGGCGCCGCCGGCGTCAAGCATTTGGTTCGTCCGTTTCCGAGAAAACAAACTTCTTCTTACTCATCAGCTGACCCACTCCGAATCACCCATGTTGCCACGTCGGACTAATATGTTAGAATCTACACGCCTACGTCAATCTCTTTCCTTCATGATATGGTGACATATGATACATGAAATTGCATCGATTTTTCACGAGGAAGCCGAATCTGAGCTTAGATTTCGGATATTATGCGTTTTAAGTCAAATTTTCTTTTATCTATTTTAAATCACTCAGGAAAATTTGCGGAAACTCATTAGAATAACAGTGTGTATTCTTTTAAAAACATTGATCAAAAATAAAACATTGACTGTATTTGAATCCATTAATCTCCGAGATAACTTGAACACGGTTGTTCTACGACTTTTTACGTATGCTGTTTTCTTCCGCATTGGTTGTCGGCAGTGTAGCGGCCAAAGGCCCCTTGGTGCTAATAATAGTTTTCAAAATCAATTTGTTTCTACATTCAAAATTCCAAGGAAATGGCAGAAATTTATCAATTGTTACTAATGTTTTAACAATGTTTCTTGTCAATTGTATGCTGTCGTTAAGGTAAACATCCCAGGTTTACCAGTAGGCTAGGCATGCACTATATTTAACACCATATCAAGGCTTCAGTACTTTAGAGGGGTAATTTTTTTATTCTCTATTCTACATAATCTCACTTGTTTAAGTAAGTAGCCTGGGCTTATTTGTCCAATGCTAGAAGTGCTAGAAGCACTTTAGCCGATCATAAAAATAATCCTAGTTTGAAAATTTTGAATTGATTCTCGACATAAAAAGAAAAAAAGAAAAAATAGATAAATAAACTGCAGTTATAAATAACAACGAAGAGATATTTAATGAGGTAGAAAAATTAAAATAAAGTGACTGAATTAAAGTAAAAAAATAAAAAATTGAAAGAAATAAAATAAAGTAAGTAACGGTAAAATACAGGGAAGAAATAAAGAATAAATAATCAAAGAAAAATAATATTAAGTAAAGAAAAAACAATAAAGTAAAAGATTAAAATTAAGTAAAGAAACAAGGGAAAAAATTAAAATAAAGTAAATAAATAGAAATGAAATAATCAAAGAAAAATTATATTACGTAAAGAAAAAAAATAAAGCAAAAAATTTAAAATGAAGTAACGGAATAAAATAAAGTAAAAAACTGAAATAACGTTAAAAAATAAAATGAAATACAAAAATTGGAAAAATGAATGAACCAATCGAAGTATGTAGATTGAATATCCTGGTTTTCCGTTCAAACCGAAGCTATGTACAGGTTTTTCGGTCAAAATTCTCATCATACTTTATATCTCAATCGTTAGGGTCTTCGGCTAGGGTTAGATAGGTCCCAGGTTCAATCCCCGCGGAAGGCATAAAAATTTGATAGGTCGGATACGACTACAGCACCTCACAATAAGTGCTGTAGTCTCATTTTACTCGATTTCGAAATTTATTCACGCGATTAACCCTTTTCCACCATCCCCTAGTTGCGAACCCCGACATTGCACACCTTTGTATTCAATTTTTTTAGCTGTACGTTTCACAAGAAAATACTCCTCTTTATGGCTAAAAACACAAAATATTAGGTTCTCCTTGCTTTCATGATTGATACACGAAACATCCGGATGGGTCAGTTTACCATCTTTGAAGGTCTGCTATCTCAGCAACGTTGTGCGGGACGTCTACGGAGGACGGCGCGCCCGCCCGGCAGTGTTGGTTTCTAACCATCATACATTTGTGCACGTAGCAAAATTGTTCTCAGGGGTCGAAACTGGGAGTCCAAGATGGTAAATGTCCCCTACTATCTGGCTATAAGCACCAAAGGTTTTTTTCCGTGCTGTATAATATAGATGATTCGACCATTTGGTCTAATGACCAAATGGTCATTAATACATCGATTTGAAGAAAATAATCAATTTATTCATTGAATTTTGTGGCATCATTATGTTAGCATCCATGGCAAAAGGGACATTAATCCCGGGAGGGGGCGGGGGTGATTTTTTCAAGACCGTCATCTCATAAGGCTGAGTCGAGAATTTAGATTGTAGACCGACTAAACTTAAGAAATTTTGATAAACGTTCAACTATATATTTCCGGTCAATGTACTACCCTGGTAGCACAGCTCGGATCGGTAAGGTTTTAGAAACATTCCACTTGTGTCGAAACTGATTCATCTCGATGAAACATATTAGAAACATTTCAGAAATGTTTCAAGGACGCAAATACTTTGAACATTTCATTGAAACATATCCAAAACATTTTGAAAATGTTTTCAAATTGGATACATTTAACAGAAATGTTTTGAAAACCAATCCAAAACATTTTACAAAAGAAAAATTTGGAGGGGAAATGAAATGTTTTAAAAACATTTTGAAGACAAAGTTGCGAGTCATGTAAAATATGTCATCAGAGACAACATGTTTTGAACACAGTTTAAAAATATTTTCATTTCATCTTACAGAAACGTGAAAACAATGTTTTTAAAATGTGTTCAAAATGTTTTCAAATTGTTCTACTATCACTATTTAAAAACGTTTTCAACACATCTCCAACATGTTCTCAGATACTTCTAATTTCGAAGTGTTTGGTGAAATGTTTTGAAAATATTCTGAAAATGTTTCAAATTAATCTACAGATTGTTTCAAGCAACTTTTCAAAGTACTGTCAGATACTTTTCCTGCACGGCTCAACGACACCTTCCTGGAACCTATCTGACACATTTTAGATATGTTTTCAATTATTAATAAATATTACTGATTGGTGTGGTATATCTCCAACTCATTTTCAAAACGTTTTGAATATAAATCGAACCAGTGTCGCTGAAGTTTTAGAAAAATGTTTTCAACACATCTCCAACACGTTCTCAGAAACTTCCAATTTCGAAGTGTTTGGTGAAATGTTTTCGAAATATTTTGAAAATGTTTCGAATGCAATCTACAGCTTGTTTCAAGCAACTTCTCAAAGTGCTGTCAGATACTTTTCCTGCACGACTCAACAACACCTCCCAGCAACCTATCTGACACATTTTGGATTTGTTTTCAATTAAAAATAAATATAATGTCTTTGAAACCTTTTTGAATATTTTGTTCGAATTTATACGTTACTTAAAAATGTTTTTGACACGTTTTAGAAATGTTTCATTGAATAACATAGAAACATTTCTAGGACCTTTCTAAAACTTTTCCTACCTAGTTCAAACTGAATCCACCAGAGGGCGTTGAAGTTTAATTTTTCAATTTTACCAAATTTCAGCTTAATTTTTCGTCTCAAGCTATACTTTTTGGACATTTAATTATGTGGAGGTTATTAACACGGTTAATTCCTTGTATGAATCGAGTTCATCTCCATAAAAGCTCATAAGTTAAGGATTATCTAGAATATTGAAACCGTACATCGTGCTTTGCGTATACTTTTCTAAAGTGAAGGTGTTCTCCCTCTGATAGGTTGATAATGAAGAAGTGTAACGATTCAGCCCTCATGCATGGTTGGTATCAAGGGATGCCTGCTGTGATGGTTCTAATTCCACAGCGACATTAGTTAGAACAAGTGTCTGAAAATTTTTGATACTTGTAGCCTCGGTGCCGATACCTCTCTGAGAATCTGAGATGTGTTGAAAAGGTATGAGAAACATCTATCGGACGTATCTGTGAAACGAAATTTAGGGGTGACATAGAGTTGTTTTAGAAACCTTCTCAAAACCGTCGGGACACATGATATGTTTTCAAGATGTTTCAACAAACCACTGAAAGGTTTTGAAAACATTTTTGAAACGTTTCGACGATACAAAGGAATGTCATGCCTCTCACCGAAATGTTTCAAGAATGTGTCAGATATATCTCTGCGACGAATTTGTGGTGCCGATAGGTACCTCACTGAGATGTGTTGTAAAGGTATGAGAAACATCTATCGGAAGTATCTGTGAAACAAAATTTAGGGGTGACATAGAGTTGTTTTAGAAAGGAACCGTCTGGACACATGATATGTTTTCAAGATGTTTCATTGAAATGTTTTAAAGAAATTTTTTCGGATCAATGACACATTTTAAAAACATCTTCAATCTGACCTGTGCTACCAGGGTACGTTGCGAAGGAGCCAGGAGCTTCTGTTTCAGGAGTTAGCGCGGGTTTTTAATTTATGTCTCGGAGCCTCCCGAGGCAAGACAACTACATGAGATTGGCTGTTCTGGCCGAATGGTAAGAGAAAAAATTCACCAAATGATAGAAGCTATTTATCCTCGGGACTGGGTCTGGGTCTTGTTTCCGTTTGAATGCCCGAGGGAAGAGTCCGGAGTTGGAATCATTGAAAGCGGAGAGGACAGCCGGGTGAGCCGGGCCGGTGCCGAGTTATCTTTGTGCAATTACTTAAGAAATACTCTTTGGAGAAGCGGAAGAAGCGGCCGCCCCGGAGCTTCATTTCTAAACGAATGACCCGCTTCCGACATCGGAATCCTCCTGCTCATGGATCCCGAGTTAGAGGTCCCGCCTTTGGTGGCGACTAATGAAGCAAATAGCGCATTCATTCCGCCCAACAACCACCGTGGGAACCCGCCTTGCCCACCATTAAAAATGAACGGCTCCAAGCAGGTGTACCGCAGATTATCAGTTCTTAAAAATCTTCAATCGGATAATAAGAGTTCAACCTGGAATTCCTCGCCGCAGTTCAAAGAGTCCGCTTATCTTATCCCTCCCCGTTCTCGGAAACATCTTCCTCTCCGCTTCTTACTTTCATATTTTTTCATTGAAAATAAAAGAGTGAAACTTTTATAAAAATTTCAGAGCTGATGTCTTTCAAAGGGCTCGAGACGTGCTCTGCATTAGAGCAATATGTTTTTAAGAATAAAAAGATAAGAAGAAAAAATCCGTCCTCAGAAGAAAAGTATTACGTAAAAAGCGGTACACGCCAACAAGTTTGAAAATGATTTCCCGAGGATAACATAAAAAGTAGCGTCGAGGGGAAAAGGAACCCAAGTGCACGAATGCAACATTTTTAGGAGAGCGATGTTCTCGAGTTGGGACGTTAAGTGGACTTTGAGTATTCGACAGAAAACGCGGCCTAGTATTTTATAACATAAGCTAGAAGTAAGTTAGTTCATATCCAAGCCAATTAAGCGTGTAAAATTTTTACGTATTTTCGTATAATACTTTTAAGAAAAACTCAACAGAGGATGGCACTGCTCAGCATTCTTTTTTCTTCGGATTTTTCGAGGTCAGTAACAGTTAAGTACCCCTCAGATTTTTCACGCTACTTTCGAAAATGACCTTTGTTGATCTTGATGAATTCGGGTCTCTCCCAATAAATCGAAATTTTCCCTAAAAATCAAGCTTTTCCAGAGAAATTTTAATTTCCCATGGAATCCATACAAGATAGAAAGAAACCCGCGCCTTCGTCGGAATTATCAGCCAAAAATACAGAGAGAATCACGTACTGAATGCCTATTAAACAGCCTCTTACAAAAAAAACTCAAATCCACCGTTGCTCTCATTGCTTTTATTTTCTACCTTGATATTCTTATTTCAGAAAGAGCTCTAATTCTGAAAATTTAAAGTCCCAAAAAATGTTCCCACGTGATGGCAGCAATGCCAAGTTGCCTTTCAAAAGATTCAATAACTGTTAAATCGATGAAAGTCATAACCTATGGTTTTCGCTAAAATTCTTTAACAATCGCGAATTTTCATTTATTGTTGGGTTTTTGACGAGGCGTTACATTAACTTGATTATACTTCTCTTTTTTTTATTTTTCATCCGTCTGATACATGTTTGAAAATAGCCAAAAAAGTATTTATTCCGGATCTCTCTTCGGATTTTTAAGTGAACAACCGTCCAGAGCAGCGTAGTATCCGGAGAACCTTTACTCTTAAAGGTTATGTGCCCAAAACGGTTCATTGAGTTAAGGTGTTCCAAAGTGTGTGTAATAAACACAGGATCAATCGAAAACGGAAACGCAAAACCGCATATCGGCGGCGGTCTTGCGTTCAAACTAGCCAGTTAGTTGTGCCATTTTTTTGCTGGAATATTTGTGAAAAACACACCTTCACACAGTGGCGACAATGCCTTGATTTTGAGTTATCCGGCAATAAGGGTTCTTTCAGCAGATGGTAATTAATGTCGATAAAATCCTCAAGACGATTGAAAGTAAAATCACCGTATTATCCGTTTCCCATATGATCAATGTTATGTACGTTTGTGGCTGTCTCGCCAAAGGTCATCCTTTCAATATTTCATCGCGTGCATCATTTTTCACGTTCTTTGAAGAGGAAACACAAATCTCAATGCTGTACATTTAAAGCTTTTCATTGTGCCATTTTTGGAAGTAAAATGATGGATTGCCACTAATAGGTAGCATTGCTCGTCAGATTCCTCATTCTGCTCGTGAATTTATTTCACGGAAAAAAGGGGTTTGATTCGAAAAGACGAGCAACATTTTCAATAATTAGAGAGGAATGGTTTTCAAGTTAGCGAAGTACGTAAATTTCGTGCAGAATTAGGTTTCAGGCTTGCGGAGCTCTGTACATGCGAAACTTGAATTTAGAATTTATTAGGAAATGAAATC